GTGGTTACAGAAAATGCTAGACAGATGCTCTTCATCAGTGCCTGTGGATTCTTGTTGTGTCACTAGTGACAACGGGATGGGGGAGAGGAAAAGGCTTGTGTCTGTGTGCTGACGTGTCCTGCCATCCATCCCAGGCAGTCTCTCCCAAGGCTCTTGATAGGGTGCTCTGGGGGTCCTGTGGTGGTACCAGACCTGGTAGGGGGTTCTGCTGCCCTGCAGTGTTAGGGGGAGCCCCATGACTGAAGGGGGTTCCTTGGCATCCAGAGGTAACCTGGCATGGTGGCAGTAGGATGGCTCTGGATCCCTAAAGGCCAGCTTTGAGCCCAGTTCCTCACTAGCCACTATCTGAGTGGCCCCAGCCCTGGACCACCTGGCCCCTAGAACTTTCAAGTTCATGGTTGAAGTGGCCATTGAGTTGTCTCAGCCACATGAGGGCTTCTGGGAAGATGGAGGATGGAAATGAGACCTGGGTGTACTCGGTAACTGGTAGCCGTTAGCAGGCGCCCCCTCTTCTTGGCATCCTCCCGGGGGCTGACTGTGTGGTGGTCACACACACGGGCACTGGAGCAGCAGGACAGAGCAGGTGACCTCTGGCCCGATGTGTTCCCCCTCATCTGAAAAATGGGGATAATAACCACCTTCCTGTGCTGGATTTGTGAAGATGAACTGAGCCGATGCGTGAGAAGCCCCCGAGTCCAGAGCCCGCTCCCACTAGCTGGCTGCGTGAAGTGGGCAAGTTGCAGCTTCCGCACCGTGCAGTGGGGTGCGGTGGGGTCAGAGGCCAGCCTGTGCAGAGACGTTGGAGAGGCGCAAGTGAAATGAGTTGCAGCGCCTGCACTTAGGAGGCTGGGAGAGATGGAGACAAAGGACAGGAGGGTAGCCGGGAACGTGGTGGAGTGAAGAAGCGGGCGGGGCAGGGAGTCAGGCAGCGGGGAGGGGGACCTTCTGAGCGGAGAGTCTCCGTCGGTGAGGTCCCTCCAGCACCCACTGCACCAACCTGGGGTACACGGTGGCCGTGGGCCAGGGGGACACAAGGCCACAGCACACGTGGGGTACATCCTCCCTGGAGGGTCATTTTGCTGGAAGGATTACGGGGAGAAATGTTAGGTTATAACCACGGGATGGGTAACTTTATGTTACATCCATGTTATGAATCAGGACAGAGGAAACATAAAACTGCAGGGGGATCTGGGCCTGCGGCTGCTGTTCTGCCATAGCCCAGCCTCCCCTGGGGAAGTGTGGCTGCCCCTTCGCCAGCACAAGCTCTTCAGTGAAAAAGTAGACGGCGTGGTCTTGTCCAACCTTCTCGTGTGTGGATGGGGAGACTGAGGCACTGAGAGGTCAGGAGACTGGCCAGCCCTAGACTCAGAGCCCTCCTCACTGGGCCCCATCTTTAAGGGCTCTTTCTGATTTCTTACTAGTTCAGATGGAAGAGCGCCGGAAGGCAGCCCTCACGGTGAATCTGTGCGAACCGTATTCAGGGCCCAAGCGTTGAGATATGCATCTGGTACATGATGGCTGAAGGGCAGGAGGACCGATAGGGGGCCAGCATGAGGGCGGGGGCGTGGCTGAGTGCAGCCGTCAGCTGCAGACCCCTGAGTATCCAGGGCCTGCTAGCCTCTGCAGGGACACAGGGAGCCACCTGTTCCACCCATCACTGCCACCGGTCAGCAAATCTGAGCCTGCCCGGGGCCCGGGAAGACGTGCTGCTGGAGGGATGGTAGAGCACGTAGGAATCTGGAAGCCGGGAACGTCGGGACCTTTTCAGCAGCACTTGCTATGGGCTGCAGCTCTGAAACAAGCCAAGGGGAGCAAGGAGTTCCGTGGCCAAATTTGTTGGGAGACCTGGGGTTAACAGTCCGCTGGGTTCCGTTACTGCAGGACCTCTCCCAGCGGGCGCAGCTCCCGTGCATGGTGCCTCCCCCGATGGGCCGTGCCTCCCCCTTGCTTGGTCACAGGCTCCTCTCCCTGGGATGCATTCAGGAAGTTGGGTCCCAGCGCACTTTGGGGAAAGCTGACAGTAACAGCAGCTCTCCTTTACCGAGTGCTTGCCTTGTACTAGGAACTGTGCTTAGTGGCCACAGTATTACTGCTCATATTATTGCTCGCCCCCCCTTCCTCCCCACCCCCCGCCAATGAGGTGGGTAGCATTTTACTGTGTCCATTTTACAGAGAGGAAGCCTGAGGTGTGGGTGTTTCCATGACTTGTCCAGGGCCCCAGGCTGGTATGTGGTGAGCCGGGATTTGAACCCAGGCTTGCTGACACAGCTGCGCTGTGGGGCTGCCACTCTGTTGCACTCTCCCCACGCACCAGCCTCCCTGCCCATCCAGCCCCTTCTGCAGACGGAGCACCTGCAGCCTGGGGTCTTAGGGTGAGTGCGGGAGAGGCAGGACCTTGAACTCAGGTGTCCCTCCTGCCAACACACACTGCTCTGTCCTGAGACTCTGTGCCAGGCAAGGGGTCTGCTCTGCCCTGGGGCCAGGAGAGGGCCCGAAGCTGGCGAACTGTGCCCCTGTGATTCTCTGAATGGGTTGAGGCCTGTGAGCAAGGCTGCATGGACCCTTGGCTGTCTGTGGATTGAGGGAGAAGCCAGTGGGACACCTGCTTATGAACAGTGTCAACTGGGTGGGTGAGTCGGGGACATCGCAGCCTGCAGGCTCTGTCCATCAGCCTACACTTACTGTATGGTTTGGGGAAAGACCTTGGGTACTGAGGGCAGTTGGAGAAACTGAGGCCCAGGCCTAGTGGCAGAGAGGGGTAGAGCTGGGGCTTAGAGACCTCATCAGAAGTGCATCAAGTCTAAACAAGTCTTCCCCATCACAGACTGTGGCCTCGGTCCTTTGGGGAGAGACTCCCCCTTCCCTGGGCTGCCTGCCCCTACACGTCCCCCCGTCTTTCCCTTCTCCTGCTCAAGGCCCCTGACTGCGGCCCCTTGCTATAGCCGTGTCAGGGTCCCGCACTGTGCCCACCAGGTCCTGCACTTGGCCATCGTAGCACAGCCAGTCTGCACATCCTCTCGCCTGGTGGGCTGTCTGCTTCCCATCAGACGGAGGGCAGCGATCGCGTCTTGCTTATGGTTGGGGCCTCGGTGCCGGGCATGTGAAGACGCTCAATAAATTCCCGATCGGTTGAAGGAGAAGAATTAGCAGAAACCGTTGAAGCGTGGGTTGGAGGCATAGGGAGGGAGTCCAGGTCTTTATTACTCAGTGACAGATGAGTAGAACAGCAGGACTCCGTGAATTTACTGAGCCCCTGCTGTGTGCTAGTCACGGGACTGAAGACAGGGAAATATACACTCTGATCTTTGCCCTCCGTGGGTTTATATTTTTCCCAGTAAGACAAGGGTAACACATATAAAACCACTGAATAACAGGCTGCTAAATTCCATGCTGGTTTGCAGGACAGCGTTCCCTTGAGTGACCCACAGTAGCAAAGTGGCGCTGCCCCCTGGGGGCCGCTGACTCGCAGGTTGTAGCTCAGTCATCCTGATCTTGGTCATGAGATGCAGGTATCATAGTCCTGTTTTACAGGTGAGGAAGCTGAGGCTCGGACCGGAAAAGGAATGTTCCTGCGATCAAACAGCTGGGGGCTGGCAGAGCTGAGCTCATGGTCAGGCTCCGAGCCCAGTGCTCTTCTGACTTAACCTGATACTTGGAGTTCACACCCAGTAGCCGGGCCTCTGGCCCGAGGTCGGAGACCGCAGGCAGTGGGAGTTGATGATGGTCCCACTCACCGACTGTCCGTGCTCGTGGTAGGAATACTACTCATGCTTCATCCAGTCTTCACATAGATGCTCTTAAGTTAGCCACAGTTTTCCAATAAGGAGACTGAGGCCCGGCCAGTAAATGGTTTAGCTGAGACTCCATCCTAGGGCTGCCTGACTTCAAACCAGTGATTCCCACGCCTGGTTGCTGGGCACCAGAATCTTCTGTGGATGCTGTGGGAAAAGGCAGCTTCCTAGGCCCCTGGCCCTAGCCATTCTGGTACTGTTAGCCTGGGGTGGGGTCAGGGACTCTGTGTGTGTGCAAGCTCCCAGGTCGTTCTGTTAGGGATGGGGCCTGGGCCCAGGTGGTGGCAGGCCTGTGTGAGGGATGGGCAGGGCCTCTACCTCCTGGGACCCCTGCCAGTCTGGGTCTGATGGGCTCTGCTTGCCTTCCTGCCATGGGCCTTTGCCCTAGGATCTGCATGGGTGGGCCCTGCCTTTGACTTATCTGAAATACCTGCTGGGAACTCAGCCATTTCAGTCTACCTGCCTCTGGGAGAAGGGCCTGGCAGAGGGCTGGAGTCAGACATTCATACCATGTTGATCTCTGCACGTCTGAGGGATCAAGACGGCACCTCAACAGACAAGAGAGGCCCTCTCCTTGTCAGACACATCTGTAGTAGAGCTGGGCACTTCCTGATGGGGCGTAGGGCGAACTCTGTGAGGTAGGTACTTTTAGCCCCATTTTGCAGATGAGCAGACTGAGACTTAGTGTGTTTAAGGAAATTACCAAGGTCATGCTGCTGGTAAGTGGCAGAACCCAGATACATGGTTTAAAGCCTGTGCTCTTAACCTCTGTCCATCCTGGTGGGGAGAGCAGTAGCTAGAAATTATTCTGTTGCATCTAAGTGATGATTTCCTTACATGGATGCAATTTATTCCTTATCCTGAAATTCTTTTACATTCATCTCCTTTTTCCTTTCAAGGAATAACTGTGAGTTACCTAAGAAGTTACCCTCTCTGTCTTAGATTTGGAAGCTGAGGCCCAGAGGCGGGAAGTGACTCTCCCAAGGTCACTCAGAAAATAGAGACAAAAGCCTGAAATAGACCCCAGCCTCCTGACCTCCAGCTCAGTGCTGTCTTTGCTGGTCCTTGCTGCCTCTTTGCTCGTGGGAGACACGATAGCCCATTGGCACAGAGTTAGCATTACCTGGAGGCATCACCAGGGGTCCCGGGGCCTCGTGGTTGCGCACGTTGGATGCTGGCTGACCGGTCCCTTCCTTTCCTGTTTTCTAGGTTCCTACGAGTGTGGAATCTGTGGCAAGAAGTATAAATATTACAACTGTTTCCAGACCCACGTACGGGCACACCGAGGTGAGTGGCATGTCCCTGGGGCAGAGCTGAGGGGCCGCACCTCCCCATCCTCTGCCTGTTTTTCCACCTGGGCCCCTCCAGGGTGACCCCAGAGGCCCTCAGAGCTCTTTCTGCAGTAGGAGTGGGACCCGAAGAGGAGAGGAGAGGCCTCCTTAACTTGGGAGAGCACCCAGGGATGGGGGTGGGGTGGGGTACAGCAGGATATGCCACCAGTGCCCCCTGTCTGCCCCGCACAGGCCCGCTTCCTCCCAAGGTGCTTCAGTGCTGTTCACTGTCAGCGGTCCTTGCAGGGAAGGTGCTCGTGTGTCATCTCATGTGCTGCTCATGACAGCCCAGGGAGTGGGGCGGGGTGCTGTCTCCATTCTGAAGATGAGGGTGCTGAAGCTACGGGGACAGGAGGGATGGTGCCTGCCCCTCCCTGAGCCTGACCCTGGCAGGCAGGGAGGAAGGGCACCGGCTCAGGGCCTGACAGACAGCAGAGAACACGGGGAAGGCTTTGTGCCCGCATCCTGAGTGGGAAGAGAGCATCCCTGGGCACGCGGTAGCGGCTTCTCCTGGCCTCCGCCTGCCCAGCTTCTCTCTCTTTTGGTGCTGGCCCTTCCATTGGTCCACTCTGCTCACCTCCTTCTTCTCTCTCTCTCACAGACACAGAAGCCACCTCAGGGGAGGGAGCCTCCCAAGGCAGTGAGTATTTTTCCCTCCTCTTGGACTGTGCGGGCTGAGAGGGCCAGGGGTGGGAGGAGAAGGGAGAGCCAGGGCCGGGGGTGATGCTCTCAACCCATCACCCCCACCCCAGGCGGCTTCTGGGAGGCCTGTTGCTGTGATGCAGGCTTTGGCTTTGGACACAGCACCTCAGAGCAGCCTTTCCCAAAGTGTGCTCCGTGGCTAGGCATGCTGGGGGAAGTTAACAGGCTTTCTGTCAGTAAAGGCTTCTGTGGCCAGATAACCTGGGGAAGCCTTGAGTTCTGCTAAGTTGAACATGTTTCTTTGCTGTAGACTTTTCAGGGCCCTTCACCGGCAAAATAGGCACGTGTATCCCCAAGAGGGGTCCAGGGTATACACCATTTCCTATGTTCTTTTGACTCCCACTCATGGGTCAGGGGCTCCGTAGCTGATGTTGGGGAAATGCATGGGCACGCACCCTGGGGTGCGGCATCCCGCCGCTTGGCATGTGCAGGGCCTCGGCATCTGGGGATACTGTTCTGCTTGGCTACGTGTGGCCCCTGCTTGCCTTGTCTCCAGATCTAAACCCACAGGGCTGGTAGGCAGCTGGCACAACAAACCTGACTGAGCCCCGGAACCCAGCAGTTCCCCTCCCAGGTGCGTGTGTGCGCACATCCACCCAAAGATGGGAATCAGGGTGTTCTTAGCACTACTCGTAACGGCTTCAAACTGGAAGCCACCCAAGTGCCTAGCGCTAGTTGAATAGAGAAGTGAGTCGTGGTGTGTCCCACAAAGGACTACAGTACAGCAGTGAGAGGGAAAGGCGGACAGCTACACACAGCACCGTGGGTTACCCGCAAACAGAACGTTAGGAAAAGGAGCCCGGCACAAAGAGTGCTTCCCCTAAGATCTGCGTATAGAAAGTCCAAGAACAGGGGAAACTAATTCACGCTGCAAGAAGTCAGCGTCGTGGTTACCCTTGGGAGGGGGTTTCTGGGTTCTGTGATTTGAGTTGGGCACTGGTTACAGGTGTTTTCGGTTTTCAAAAATGTAACGAGCTGAACGTTTAGGATTTGTACATTTTTCTCCATCAGTGGTCGGCATATTTTTTGATAGGGGACCAGATAGAAAATATTTTAGACTCTGCAGCCTAGGTTATCTCCATCGTGGCTGTGCAGCTCTGCCATGGAGCACGAACACAGCCAGAGACGGTGTGGAAATGGATTCCTTATCAAAACAGACGGTGGGCAGGCCATAGTTTGGCCACCCCTGTTCTGCATGTTTGGTATACCACCATGAAAAGTTTCTTAAAATAATAAATAAACACAAGCCACCCCCTGCCACCCCCCTTAAAAATCCAAAACCGAGTAGTTTGAGGAGGCAGGGCCTTAGCTGCAATTGGGTCCTAACAGCATTTCTTCTAAGGCACTTTCGCATCCACTCTCTCTTCGGATTCTTACACCACGTGAAAGGCCTGCAGGGCTGAGGCTACCCCTCCGTTTTCTGGACAATCTGAGCCTCAGGTTGGCCAGGCACCTGCCCCAGGGTCCTCGGCAGGAGGAATTCAGGGTCCTATGCCGCCTCCCCAAGCCCCACGCTGCCCCTGCCTGGCCCCGGGCTCCTTCTCCCTCAATAGCTCCCTTCTCTTCCGGCTCCCATCGCCCGCCTGTGGTCAGCCGCACAGTTAAGGAACTTCCCTATTTATCTTTCCTTCTTTGGCTATTCTGAGCCCCTGGCCTCTCCAGCAGCCCCTCAATGATCCGTTATGCTCCATCTGGCTTCCGCTGTTCCCGGAGTTTCACTAGTTGTGGAGGACTTCGTGACTGGGGGTATTTTTAGTCCTTCCTCTCTGCGGACTTCACTCCCCACGGCCAGTGTGCTTTGCTGGACTCTGTGTTCCGTCCTGCCCCCCCCGCCCTGCCCTGGGCCAGCAGCGCCTGCTCAGACAGCCTGGCCTTCTCACACCCCAGCCTTGCGACAAGACCTGGCCGTGGAGTCCTGTGGAGAATGTCAGATGAGGATACTGAGTTCCAGAGAGAGTTCCAGAGAGAAGTCATGCAGCTTCTTAGGGGTGGAGGTGGGCATAGAAACCAAGTCTCACACCTTCTAGTCCAGGAATCTTTCGTTTATTTGTTAGAAAAATAGTACAGTCATACATAGAGGCATATACCCAGTTACCCATCTCTCAACTACGAACATAGAAGATCAACTCCGCATCGAGCTCTCTTGCCTTTGTTTAACAATAATATTAGGTAACATTTATGAAGTATTTATCGTATGTTAGGTGTTGTGCTCACTTATTCTTTATCACAATTCTGGGAGATGAAGGAACATATCAGTCCTGTTTTACAGTTGAGAAAATCGAGGAGCAGAGAGTTTAGTGCACGTGCCCGACGTTAATGGCACCTGTAAGTGGTGGAGTTGAGTTTGAACTTGGGCAGCCTGCCTCCAGAGCCTGCCTCCCCAGAGATTCCTGGAGTCCCTGAACTCTCTTGGGGTTCTGAAGATGTGGTTTCACTGACCAAAAAATCATTTTGCCTTTCTTCCTTTGGGGATAACTCTCTTGTCCTAATTCGCTCCTGCCTTAGGAGGGCCCGGGCACGTGGTCCTGTCCACGTCGAGGAGACATAGATCAGGATGTGGCGTGGGATTCGACAGAGCAGGGTGGGGCACTTCTCAGTGGCAGAAAGCTGGGGGTTCACCTTTTATTGGAGGTGGCGGACGTACATGGCCCAGCTGGTAGGAGAGGCAGCGTTAGCAGAGATGAGACACGTGGGGTGGGCGACTGCGGGGTGACCAGCGCTGACCAGTATGGGAGAGGACTCACGGGGCAGGACCCCATCTGGAACCAGCAGACCCCAGTTGGGCTTGACTTCTCCACCTCTGTTCCCCGGGTATTCAGCTCTGAGAAGGATTACGGTCCAGATGGGACATGATGGGGTAGGTTGTTGCCTGTGTTGGATTGCTGGCCATGGGGAAGGATCGAAGCCTGTGCCAGGCTTGGAATCCTGGAACTGCCAGCCTGGGAAAGGCCCTGGGAATCAGCTCATCTACCACCACGCCCCCTCCCCAAACTAGGGGGGAAATGGAGATGCTGAATCCCGAGGTGGGGTTGTCACTTGCTGGCAGTCTGGGTGAGGCAGGCCGGGACCAAGAGTCTCCTCCCCACGTCCCACCACCTCTACCCTGCCACTCCGTGGTGGGTCGGGGCAGGGGCATGGAGATGGGAGGGCCTGGTAGGATGGTGGACGCCTGAACCCTTCCTGGTCCCCACACCCTCAGAATGTCTGTGTGTACCTCGCCTGGAGACCAGGTCGTCTCTGTGGCCCTGCATCTTCCAGGCATGTCCAGGGACTGCAGGTGCCATGGAAAAGGTGGAGGCAGAGGCGGGGAGCTGGCTAATGCCATCTGTGTTCCTGAGTTCAGCTAAGCGGGGGCCAGAAACCCTCCCACAGAATCGCCTGGCACTGCAACCTTGGGATGGGGCAGTCACATCACATCCTGTGTTTGGGTGCTAAGGAGCAAAAGACGGGCCAGGAGGCTGGTACCCCAGCCCAGGAGTGGAGAGTGATTCATCCGGACAGAGAAGGACCATGTGCCCTGACTCAGCTGTGGCTTAGAGTTAAGTGAGAAGCTGGATCCTGGCTATTCCCTGCCCCACTCTACAGCCTTGAGCAAGCTGCCCAACCTCCCTGTGCTGGGCATCCTCGGGAAGCTGGGGTGGACGAGCCATCCCTAGATCGGCCCAAGGAGCAAACACACAAGGTCTTTGCTAGTCCAAACGTTGGAGGGGCTGCCGACGTGGCAAAGGCACTGTCCTGTACGAGTCCAGCCTCAGACTCTGGAGAGGCCTAGGGGGTCATCCAAACACAGGCCCTGTCATTGTTTATTGCTGTGTCACACACTTCCCCATGGCTTCACCTGGTCCTCTGGCTCTGGGTCTCTCACGAGGCTGCCGTCAAGGCCGGGGCTGTGGTCTTATCTCACAGCTCAGCCGGGGAAGGGACCGCCTCTGTACGTACTCCCGTGTTTGTCAGCAGGAGCCATCCTTCCCAAGCTGTTGGGCTGAGGGCCTCAGTTCCCCACTGGCTGTTCACCAGAGGCTGCCAAGTGGGTCTCTATGTGAGGCAGCCTGCAGCACGGCAGCTAGCAAGAGCGAGACGGTGTGAGCAAGGCCAAAGTCGTAGTCTTCCGGTGACATCACTTAACTCTAAGCCGTGGCTGAGTCAGGGCACGTGGTCCTTCTCTGTCCAGATGAATCACTCTCCGCTCCTGGGCTGGGGTACCAGCCTCCTGGCCCTCTTTTGCTCCTCACCTTACTGCATTGTCTCTGTTAGAAGCGAGTCAGCGGGTCCGGCCGAGACATTGCACAGGACAGGAACGCCAGTAACCAGGGTCATTCAGAACCATCGTGATGGGCCTCACCCAGGCCCCCCTTGCTGTAGGGCTGGCAGCAGGTCCCTTCTGTCCCTCAGTAGACTCAAGTGTTAAATGGGTTATTACCTCCTCCCTCGATTGCAAGGCCGAATGGAGGGAGTGCTGGGGAAGCTCCTGGCCTGGCCCCTGACAGTACAGCCAACACCCAGGAAGCTGTAGCCGCAGTGATTGTTATTCTCACATAACGAAGGAAGTCATGAACTGGGCCCTTAGGGGCTCAGCTCACATGGGGTAGGATTGGAAGTGCCTTTGAAAATCACTTCAAGGCTCCCCGGTCTCCTTGTGTCCAAGACTCCTAACACCCCAGGAACTATTCTCCATGGAGTCACCAGGTGGGCCCAGTCTGGCCCATACCACCTCCCCCAGCCCCAAGTGACTGAAGCCCTGGTAACCACGTGTCTTTCCATCCTCCGCAGACAACTTCAGGTACACGTGTGACATCTGCGGGAAGAAGTACAAATACTACAGCTGTTTCCAGGAGCACCGAGACCTGCACGCAGTGGATGGTGAGTCAGGCCCCTCACTCCTCAGGAGCGGAGTCCCGCAAAGAGACCCCCCCTCCAGGACTGCTTATGGGGCCCAGGGCCCACCCACAGCTTCCCCTCCCACTTCCTACCCAGGGAAGGTCGGGCAGCAGGCAGGCCACGAGTGGAGTGATGAACCTCCGAGGGTTCTGGGCTAGAGAAGGTCCCCATCATATTCCATATGTCTTTCTGATGAGGGTAACCCAAGTGAAATTGCCGTTTTTGAGGGTCAAAATCAGTCGGATATCAACAATTTTATACTGATTTATTTTATGATTTCATGTTGAGTATTCCCACGCTCTGGTGAAATTAAACCAATTTTTTAAATCGATGATATTTTAGCATCTTAGATTATACAGTTAGAAATTAGAACGATAAATTTAGGTAATTTAGTTTTGGAATCTTAAGAATCCTAGAAATAGGGTCTTGGACTGGAAAAGCCTCTGGAGGGTTCCCTCTCTGGCCCCACACCCCAAGCCCGTGTCAGGCTGTGACAGCCGGGTCTCACCACCTGTCGCCTCTGGTCCATCCTTCCTCTCACCTCCTTTTTCTTTACCCACGCGCCCATCTCTTCCTTTTTTTCTCCTGCCCTGGTCCCTCGAGCGTCTGGCGGTGATCCAGAAACAGGCCAGCCTGAAAGCGTCTTCCTGCCCGGGGATGGGCCCTCGAGGAATAGAGGGATGTGCCCTCCTGTGGCCCTTGGTTTCCTGGGCAGCCGCAGTGGCTGAGGCAGCTGTCCTGGGCCCCAAAGGCAAGCTCGCTGGGGCAGAGGCTGGGAGCACTGGGCAGAGGCAGCTATGGGCAGGGACTAACAGGGTTCCTGTTTGCTTCTTTCCTTCTGCGGCTGCCGCCTCCCGCCCGGGCGCAGTGTTTAGTGTGGAAGGGGCCCCTGAGAATCGGGCAGGTAAGTCCTCGGTGGCTGCCCACCTCCCTGTCCCAACCTGGGCTCTGAGACCTGGTTACCAGGGCACTAAGGGCCGTGTGTTCTCCCACAGACCCCTTCGACCAAGGTGTCGTGGCCACTGACGAGGTGAAGGAGGAGCCCCCGGAACCATTCCAGAAAATCGGGCCAAGTATGCAGGCCTCTCTCTGGGGCCGGGGCTGGGTGGGGAGACAGGTGGGGGTGGCTGAGGGCGGCAGGGCGAGTCCCACCACTGGAAGGGGGCAGCGTTGCTAATCCTGCAGCTCTGGCCAGCGAGGCACTGGCCTCCTTGTACCTCACTTTGCCCACCTGTCAAATGGGTCAGTCACTCTTAGGACTTGCTTTTGAGAAGCAGCAGGACAGCACAGGGTCCAGGTCAGGGCAGTGAAGGTAGCACAGGCTTGGCGCCCAGTGTTAGCCGTCCTGAGCCTTGGCTCCTCACCTGTGGAGTAAGGGTGACACTTCCCCGCAGGTTTGTTGGGGGATTAAATGAGATCATGGATATAAATCACCTCTTAATTAGCACAGTGCCTGGTACATAGTAGGTGCTCGGAAAATACTGTCGTTACTGTTGTCAGAAGGGGTTTATCAGCAAATGAAGCTCTCCGGGGGAGCTACATGCAGACGCTCCATCCTCATCCCGGTAAACCCCTGAGAGTAGGAGCCACGCACTTGACCTGCCTATTCGCAACGCACTGGTATTGAGTATTGTGGGAACACAGCAGTGAGCAAGACAGATGTGGCCCTGCCTCGGGTAGTTCACACAGGGAGGGGGCAGCAGGTCAGTAAGCAGGTAGTTACAACATAGAAGCCCAGGGAGCAGTGGGGCTGGGAGGCAACTGACCAGCCTTGGGAATCCATGAGGCTTCTGCATGGGGATGAGGGTAGGGATGAGCCCCTGTATCCCACATGAAGGCAGCAGAGCTGCACTTGCTCCAGGAACTGAAAGGCAAATCGATTCTGAGTTCAGGTCTTAGAGAGCCTTGAAAACCAGAAGAAGGCAGTTAGATTTCATCCTGAGGGGAATGAGCCGGAGTTTACTCAGTGGAGGAGGGACTCGATCAGGTTTGTGTTTTAGGAAGACATTTTGGCTGCCGCAGGGGGAGTGGATTTGGGTCGGGGTGGAGGTTGGTTCTCGCAAGTGAGACTGGTCCAGCCCTTCAGGAAGTTGCATGCTTGCCTCTTCCTCTCTATTCTTCCTCCGTGCCTCTCTTACTACCCAGCAAGAAGAGACCTTTATTGGCTCTACCTGTTGCAGTAAGGATTAAGGCAGCTTGTGAAAATACACACACAAACATAGATTGAATGGATGAGGAAGTTTAGGGAAGGAGAGTCAAGGGAGCTGGAACAGTGAAGCCAGAGACAAGCCTCAGAGGGCGGGACTTGGTCCCGGCCCCTGGAAGGCATTGGATGGGCCCCTGAGTGTTCTTCCTCCTTCCTCGTAGGAGATGATTCTCTCCTTTTCTTTACCTCTTAAAGCACTCAGGAAACTGGAGATGTGATAATGTCTGTAAATACGATGTAAAAATAATGTCTGTATGACAGCACTTGTCATATGTAATGGTAAACATTCAATAAACAGTAACATTAAAATAATCTTGAAGTGGAGACTTGCCTGGCGGTGCAGTGGTTAAGACTTCACCTTCCAATGCAGGGGGTGTGGGTTCGATCCCTGGTCAGGAAACTAAGATCTCACATGCCTCAGACCCAAAAAACCAAAACATAAAACCGAAGCAATACTGTAACAAATTCAATAAAGACTTTAAAAATGGTCCACATCAAAACAAAAAAAATCTTTAAAACAAAAAAATAACAATCTTGAAGTGAAGAAAATGATGAAATCCTTAATAGTAAGACTGCCAGAAGTTAGACTGTGGGAGAACCCAGATGTGAATCAGACATGTTCCATGATGGACGTTCATAGACCAGTGCAGGACAGGGACATTGGGATCTGTGAAACTGCCCCCCTCCTGCTTCAGTGCTGTCTGCCAGCAGTCCCAGCATAGCACCACCCCTTCCATCTGTAGTATCATAATTATCAAAATAGAATACAGACAACATAGGCTATAGAATCAGACAAGCCCAGGTTTGAATGCTGACATCACCAATTTACTAGCTACTTACCCCCACTGAGTGTCCTTTGATTCTTGTATAAATTGGGAATAAGAACATCTATCTGTTCTTCAGGGCTGTTGGAGGATGCCTGTGTCAAGTGTCTAGCCCAGCACCCGGCTCGTATTTAGGGCTTAACGAATGAGCGATGTTGCTGAGAGATAGTCAAGAGCGAGAGCTTTAGAGCCATCCCAAAGATGAACCCCAGCTCTATACTTAATGCCTGTATGACGTCCTGCAAGTTTTGTAATCTCTTTAATCACAGTAATGACAGTAAAACTCACCTCTCAGGATCTCATGGAGATTAGATGAGATTATATTCGTAAAGGAATTAGTATAGTCCTTGACATTTACATGGAAAGCATTAAACAAGTGGTACCTATTAATTATCCAGAAAGGTACAGAGCAAGATGAAACTTGTTCTCTATATCAGTAACTACGTCTGACAGCCAGCCGGTGCTAGGACCCAGGAGGAATTATCACAAATTATATGGAGTAGGGAATTGCATTGAGAAAACTGACCGAGTTTGGCTCCCAGCTTGACGCCATGGAACTGAGATGTCTATAAGAGTATGAGGCTGTTCCTTGTTACCACTCAGCAGCTGCCTTGTGAGATCAGAATCCTGCTTCTTGGGCTTCTGCCACTTTTTGTAAGCTGGCCAGTGCCACAGAACCCTGATAGTGATGAGGCACAGAATAAGGGGAGCCAGTAGGGGTACAGTGCACTGTGGAGGGACTAGTCCCCACAAGTAGAGCTCTATAGGTCAGGGGAAGAGGAGAAACAGTGGCAGCAGGGCATGCTGGGAAGTATGCCTTTCACATCCATGTCAGCTGAGCAAATTGGAGAATTAAGTACTCAAGGAGGAGGAAGCCAGAGCCAGGACAGAGCAGAGGAATCCTGCTAGAAGGAGGGAATTGGTCTAAGAGGCCCTGTGTGTCAGCGTGCTCTTCGGGTGCAGATCTGAGAATTACTCCCATGGTAATGGTCTACCATGATAATGGGGGGATGATTGAGGACAATTCGTTCAAGTCTATTGAAACAGTGTAAATCTGGATTTATTTATAGGTTACTTGAGTTTTATACCTGGATAAGGAAGAGTGACTTGAAAGGTAAAAAAAAAAAATAAGAAAATAAAACTTGGGAACTATGAAAATTCCACATGACAAGAAAGGAATTTAAGAGACTTAGAGGAAGAATATACCTCTGAAAATGATCTACCACAGAGTCTAGAAGGAAATGCTGTTTGGCAACCACAGTCAAGTATGAGAAAATATGACCTGTCTTAGTTCACTCAGGCTGCCATAACAAAGTACCATAGACTGGGTGACTTAAATAACAGAAATTTATTTTCTCACAGTTCTGGAGGCTGAAGTCAAAATCAGGGTGCCAGTATGATTGAGTTCTGGTCCAATGACCCTCTTTCTGGCTGTACTCTCACATGGTGAGAAGAAAAAGAGAGCAAACTCTCTGGTGCCTCTTGTTATAAGGGCACTAATCCCATCATGAGGGACCCCACTGCCATCCTCATGACTTCATCTAACCTAATTACTTCCCAAAGGCCCCATCTCCAAATAGCATTGCATTGGGAGACAGGACGTCATCATCTGAATTTTCGGGGGAAACAATTCAGTCCATAGCATGACCTCTGTAAAAAAGGAAGCTGTATGGTGAAAAGGCAACAAGATAAGATGAAAAAGCAAAGAGAGAGGAGTGAGATGAGAAGAATTGGAGAGAAGCAGAAAATATAAGAGCAGATTTAAAACCTACATTGTATATAGTAAAGAGCAGAGTTGATCTGCAGAAATGGAATTAATAATGTGAAGGACAAACTTGAACAGATGAGCTTAATAAGCAGAAAACATGATAAATATGGAGAACGGGGAAACTGTTCCAGATAATTGGTGGGACAGAAGCAATACTCCAAAGATACAATAGAAGAAAAAATTGCTCAGCTAAAGGAAGACCTATATGTCAGGTAGAATCAATAAAAAAGAACCCATAACTAGGTAGATATTAGTGGCTTTTTAAACTATAAATATAAGGGGGAAAACTATACAGGTACCTGGAAATAAAGAAGCAAGTTACTTACAAATGATTTCAAGGTGGACTTGCATCGGACTTCCCTGCAATACTAAATGCTGAAAGATCATGGAATAAGTTCTGAAGGGAAAAAGGTGTAATCTAAGAATTTTATATCTAGACAAACTGTTTTATGTGTAAAAAAAAAAGCAAGGGCTCAAAAACGTGCTATTTCTCCTATATACCCAACTTCAAAAAATTACTTGAAGATGTACTCCAATGAACTGAGTGGTTGAACACATTTAAGGGCTCAATTATGAGGCATTAATTCATAGTAAAAGAGGACTTGTGAATACTGAAACCAGGTAAACTAGAAGTAAGTTTAAGTTTAAAATGTTGCAAATCTGATTATAAAATTGAATGCAAAAAAAGAGATCATTCTAAAATATTAAAAATGAATGTTAAAAACCAGGAAGGAAGGAATAGGTGAAGGATACAATAAAGTAGGTTAAATCAGTCCTGCTTATTATAGTGTGGTCCCCAGACCAGCAGCATAAGCATCTCCTAAAAGCTTATTAAAAATGTAAATTCTCAGGCCCCACACCAGACCTGTGGAATCAGAATCTCCAAGGTGGGGCTCAGGTGTCTGTGTTGTAACAGTCTTTCTAGATGATTCTTATTTAGGCTAAAGTTTGAGAGGCACTGAGTTAAACTACCTTTCTCAATGGTAATAGATATGAAAATATCATTTCGTGCTTGACTATAAAAATTAGAGAAATGTATCTTATATACTGTCTAGAACAATGGAAAATATTGGAAAATGCTGGAATATTGGAGAATAATGGAAAGGCAAAGAAAAGAGTTCATACATCAAACAACTGAAAACTAAGGGAATAAACCAGAAAGGGTATAAGATGAAAAGAAAAGAATCATAAGACAAGTAAAACCAAGTCAGTAATAGCAATAAAAGCAAATGGCATAATTTCCTTTATTAGAAGACAAAGATTCTCAGGTTAACTTAAAAGAATCCAATTAAGAATGGTTTATTAGAGACATACTTAGTTAATTCCTTGTCTTTTACTCTTCTCTTTCCCATGGAGCTCTTTCCTACTCCCTTAACTAAATTGAATTCCCTATTAAGATTTTCATAGCACCGTGTCTCCTTGAGACCACCCATTGTGGTTGCAGTTTTAGATTTGTGTGATGATTCGATTTTTCTTTCTCCTTTTCCAGACTGTAAGTTCCTTGAAGGCAGGGACCACTGCTCAACATTTTGTGCCAGCATTTAGCGCAGTACCTGTTTGATGAATGCAAGTACAAGAAAATTTAGGGAAACGGCTTTAGGCACATGTGAACAAGTAGAAGGATCTAACAAAGTAATTATCAAGAACTAATAATATTAATACCAGACAAACTAATAAAACAGTGTGATTAAAAGTTAGAGTGGGGCTTTCCTGGTGGCGCAGTGGTTGAGAGTCCGCCTGCCGATGCAGGGGACACGGGTTCGTGCCCCGGTCCGGGAAGATCCCCCATGCCATGGAGCGGCTGGGCCCGTGAGCCATGGCCGCTGAGCCTGTGCGTCCGGAGCCTGTGCTCCGCAACGGGAGAGGCCACAACAGTGAGAGGCCCGCGTACCGCAAAAAAAAAAAAAAAAAAAGAGTGGTGGTTCTTAACTTTCTAACACTTCAGGATTTTCTTCAGGACCTGTTAAAACACAGTTTACTGGATCCCATCCTTAGGATTTTTCTTGCAGAATGTTTCGAATAAGTCCTGAGAATTTGCATTTCTAACGGGTTCCCAGGCGATGCTGATTGCCACTAGCCCAGGGACCATGCTTTGAGAACTGCTGTGTTAGAAAATAGTGTAATGTTAACAAAGGATATGGTTCAAAGTGGAGGTTTTGATCTCATGAGCCCGTCTGCATCAAACAACATTATATCTAAATATACAAAATAAATTCAGAAACACAGTGAATTGGAAGGATTGATCACAACATTTAGTCTTTGCCAGAGCGAGGAGAGAAAAAAAGGTTATATAGCGTTTGAATAATACAATTAATACAGTTGATCTAACAACTTCAGAGCCTACAAAGAGCAATAATATGTCTTTACCGTGGTCATGAATCAGTTAACAAAAATTATTTAGCTACCAAAATTTTTAAAGCTTCTATATTGCGAGAAAAGAACATAAACAGACTAAGAAACCAATTGAGAAAAGATACTTGTAACATGTCGAACGAAATGTTGATGCCCTTCATCTATAGAGTTCTTAGCGATTTTAAAAAGGTAAACATGCCTGTAGAAACATTGACTGTAAACACAAATAGGAAAGTCACAAAAGAAAAACTGTAGTTCATTAATCCTCAAAAATAGCTTCCTTAGAACTCAAAGAAATGGAAAATAAAACCAGCAGTGCAATGTATTTCTCCCTATCAGGCACAGTAAGAAGATGATAGTACTTAATGCTGGCTACAGTATATGGAAACAGTCATTTTGAGATCTTTCTGATGGGAGCGAAAATTGGCCCAGTCTTTCAGTAAGTAGTTGGTGCTGTGGTGATCAAAAGCCTTAAAAATGCAGACCCTTAGTTTATCCTGAGGAAATATGTGCAAAGATTATGAACAATAATCTTTATTTCGCAGTGGTGTGCAAAAATAATGAGCAGATGTGCAAAAATTTCTACGAGGGTATGGATCACAGCATTTTTTTATAAGGGAAAAATTTTGAAACAATCTCAATGTCCTCTGGTTTAGGAGACTGGCTCAGCAAATTCCAAAGTCCAGTGGTAACCAGGCAGCCAATAAATGCAGTAGAGATCGATGTTTATTGATTTGAGCAAGATGTCTACAAAATATTGTTGATTGAATGAATGCGCCAGGTTACAAAGAGCATATAGATCAGGGCCGGCTAATTCAAGGCCCGTAGAAGCCAGACGGCTGACGTCAGTGAGAGATGAGATGGGAGTGCAGGGTGGGGTCTGGGGCAAGTGGCCAGGTGAATGCTCCACCCTGTGGGGTAGCTGCTGCTCTTTTTGGGGGATTATAGATGATTGAAGTTTCTCTTATATTTAAAATTTTGTATTTGTATTTATCAGTATTTTATAATTTTCCCCCAGTGAACAATATTACATCAGAAATTTTTAAGAAGAAAGAAGTTAGGCAGTGCCAAAAGAGAGGTAAAGATGAAGTCCGGTGGGACCCAAGAGGAAGACGTGGCCCCTTCTGCCAGGGGGTGGGGGGCGTTTGGGGGCAGGGAAGACCCTGGAGACAAGGTGACCCACATGTGGCCATTGCAGAGGGCAAGGCTTGAAAAGGGGCTGATAAAGAGGTTGGCACTGGAGGTCAACTCAGGACACCACCCATTTCCTGAGCACCGGGGCCTGGGGGTGGAGCGATGGAGGAGGACAGCGTGTGCCAGGTACTGTTCTAAGCATGTGACATACAAATTTAATCCTCACAGCAATCCTATAAGGTGGTCCTATCATTGCCCCATTTTACAGATAGGAAAACTGAGGCACGGAGAGGTTATTAGATTTGCCTAAAGTCACACAGCTTGAAATAGAGGAGCTGGGATTTGAACCCTGGCGGTCTGACTCAAGGGGGCTCCTGATTCTAGTTGGTGGTCCCAGAATGAGGAGGGGTTTGTGGGGGAGGGAGCAAGCTGCTACTTCTGGGTGGGAACAGGCACCCATTCCCACACTCTCCTCTCCTTGGACAGAAACCGGCAATTATACCTGTGAATTCTGCGGAAAGCAGTACAAGTACTACACGCCCTACCAGGAGCACGTGGCCTTACACGCCCCCATCAGTGAGTACCTTCTCTGGTTGGGGGAAGGGTGGGCCAGCCATAGGCTGAGGCTCTGGAGTTTTGCCAGGGGAGGGTGAAAGCAAAGGTGAACTTGTTCTGGGTCAGCCTCTAGGTGTCCAAGTCTGACCTGGGGCCACCTGACTGCAGGAGCAGGGAAAGCCCCACCCTTAAGCCAGGAAAGTCTGAGTCCTCCCCTGGCGGTCTCAGAGGCCTGGGCCCATGTGGATTTGGGGTTAGGAAGGATGGGCATCATTCACCCAAGTCGTTCAGCAGGCTTGTCCTCACCTCTTCCAAGCACCTCCAAATCAAGTGGTTCCTGAGTCGCTACCCCCAAAGGCAGCACCATGTAATGCAGCTTCAGTCTGAACCAGTGCAGGGCCTAACCCAGGCTAGAGGATGGTCAGTTAGACAAGGCAGCTTTGCCCTTGGAGGTAGAAAGGGTAAGAAGTCAGAAGGAGTGCCAGGCTGGCCTCAGAAGCCCCGGGTATTAGTCCCAGTGGAGTCACAGGCATGTGTGTGGCCTTGGGCAGGCCCCAATCTCTCCCTCCTCCCCTGGCCTGGGAGGGAAAGGGTTCTAAGGATCCTTCCCACAGGGACATCCTGGCCTTCCATTCTCCCCATGCGGCTGATTTCCCAGCTTCCCTTTTGGATGTCAGAGGGGTCTGTATCCTTAGATCCCCAAGTATATGAGCTAAGAGGGCCCTCAGTCCTCAGCCAAAGTTCAGACAGGGCGGGGCTTAACCACATTGCAGGGCAGTAGGGCGGGGTGTTTAAGAGGTATTTGGGAGTATCCCTGCTTTTGTTTTTCACAAAAGAGCTATGGGGATCCCACTCCACAGTCTGTGGATGGGAAGGTTTAGGTTCAGGGAGGGGAAGGGATTATGCAAGGTCATCAGGGTGCAAGGTGCCTAGAGGGCCCAACCCTCCTGGAGCACTGGCAGTAGCAGCACAGGCCCCTGGGCCCCTGAGGGCTTTCAGGTGGGCAGGGAGGGGTGTCCAGAGCTCAGGCGGTGGAGGAGGTAGCTTCCCCAGGAAGTCCTGCCTGCTGCGCAGAGCCGCAGGACTGAGGGGTCTCCCTCAGATGGGGAGCACCCATCCTTAGGTGGAATACTGGGCTAAGGTTCTCATACTGCTCGGCCCCTGACTGCTGGGTAACCTTGGACCTGTCACTTCCGTTCTCTGGGCTCAGGTTTCCCACCTGTGGGAGCTCTCGAGGTCTTTTCAGCCCAGGGGTCTGGATTCCAGTCATCTCCAGTATAAGGAGACCCTCAGGCAGGCATCTGCAGTGGCGCGATTACAGGAGCCTCTCCTGCCACCCACGCTAAGCATGTGTGGGTTATTTATTGCCCACCACATGGCCAGGTCCTGTGTGGGGGAGAGAGGCCACAGCTTACACTGGGTGGGCAGTAACCCATCCATTTGACCCACTCACGGTGCTGGTGCTGAAGCATCAGGGCTGTGGCTTGAGCTCCATGGCTCAGACCCCTCTGGGGATCCCGCTCTCCATGGGCAGGGACGGGGCAATTGTGTGTGGGTACCTGCTTACCTGTGCTCTCCGGGGAAGCAGCAACTGCCCCGCTGCCTGGTGCCCAGAGGGGTTGCTACGCAGAATGCACTTACAGTTAGGTGTTAGTTACAAAGCCATCCTGCAACTTGGGTTTCAGCCTTTGGAGAAAACCCTCAGTGCTGTTTCTGCTCTTTCCCCAAATGGCTCTTGCTGGAACAAGTTGAATAAGGTCATGGAGTTAATAAGAGGAGGAGCTTGGCTTGAACCCTGACAGGCACCCTCCAGGCCCATACTCTTAACCATGAAGTTCTCCTGCATCACATGTCAGATGGTACAGCAGGAAGGGGTGCTTCGTTTGTACCCTGATTACTTCCCTAACATCCAGGTACTTCTCTCCTGAAAGGCTGTCTACTCTTTCTCTGTTCCTCATTTTCTTGTTCTCTCTATCGTGAACTCTCTTTGTCTTTCTGCATCTGTTTGTTGAGTGCATCTCTTCTTTATTACTGAAGTCTAGGGACTCTGTGATCATCTGTGTTTAAAATTACAGAGTGAGAGATTTAGGTTAGATGCAACAGAGGATTGATTCTCCAAAGCTGACCAAGAAATAGCCCCTCCAGTGGCCTTTGGATCTAGATATTTGTATGTCCATGGGTTCTGTGTGGAATTGGGGGCTGGACTTGATGGCTTCATCAAGTGGTACTCAGGGCCAGGCCTTGAGAGACCCTGGGTCTCCTGAGAGCATCCAGAGAGACGTAGGCTGACTGGAAGGAGGTGTAACGAAATGGAGTCATATAATATGTACTCTTTGGGGTCTGACTGCTTTCACTTAGCAAAATGTTTTTAAGATTCATACATGTTGTATATATCAGTTCATTCCTTTTTTTTTTTACTGCTGAGCAATGTTCTGTTGTGTGCAAGTACCACAGTTTGTTGAGCCATTGGCTTGTTCATTTGAATTGTTTCCAGTTTTAGGCTATTATGAATAAAGCTGCTATTGAAAATGCTTGTACTAGGCTTTCTGTGTTCATTTCTCTTGGATAAATTCCAGGGAGTAGAATTGATAGGTCATAGGAGAGAGTATGTTTACCTTTTTAAGAACTGACAAACCATTTCCCAAGATGACTGGGAAATGCGCCTTTCACTAGCGCCCTTCACTCCCACCAGCCACAGATGGGAGTTGCACTTGCTCCAAATTCTTGCCAACAATTTGGTGGTAGGAAGCCACTCTGGTGAGTGTGTAGTGGTATTTCATTGTGGTGTTAATTTGTATTTTCCTGATGACTCATGATGTTGAGCACCTTTTCATTTGCTTATTAGCCATTCGTATATTTTACTTTGGAAACTGTTTAAGTCTTCTGCCCATTTTTTTTGGTTGGGTTGTTTGTCTTTTTATTGTTAAATTGGAGGAGTTCTTTATACACTCTAGATCCAGGGTCTTTATCAAATATATATTTTGTGGACATTTTCTCTCAGTCTTTGGTGTGACTGTTGATTTTCATATAGTATCTTTTGATGAGCAGTTTTTCATTTTAATGAAGTCTAATTTATCAGGTTTTTTATGGTTAGTGTTTTCTCAGTTCTACTCAGGATATCCTTGCCTACCTCAAGGTGGTGAAGATACTCTTCTTTATTATCTTTTAGAATCTTTATACTTTCAGCTTTTACATTTAAGTCTCTGATCCATTTTAAGTTAATTTTTGTGAATGATGAGAGGTTTGATTTGAGATTAACTTTATTCCATATGACTGGTTGTTCCAACACCATTTGTTGAAAAGATTGTCCTTTTTCCATGACATTGCATTGAGACCTTTGTTGAAAATCAGTTGAATGCGTAAGTACGTGTGAGTTTATTTCTGTTCCACTGATCTATTTGCCTGTGTTGGTGCCAACATGGTCTTATTTACTGTAAGTCTTAAATCAGGTACTCTCAGTTTTTCAACCTTGTGTATTTTTAAGAATATTTTTCTTAAAACAAGGAACTTTGCCTTGCAATATAAATGTTAGTCTTATTGCCAATTGCTACAAAAAAATCCAGCTGGGATTTTGTTTAGGATTACACTGAATCTATCGACCAATCTGGGGAGAATAGACATCATAATAATAGTCGATCTTCCACTTCATGAACATAGTGTATCTCTCCATTGGTTTAGGTCTATTTAAATTTCTCTCAGCAATAGTTTGTATTTTCAGAGCAGAGGTCTTTTACATATTTCATTAAATTATATCTAAGTATTTTATGGGGTTTTTTGATGCTACTGTGATTTTTTTATTTTCCAGTTTTTGTTGCTATGATTTTTGTATATATTGAATTTGTATCCTGCAACTTTGTTAAATTCACTTATTAGTTCTCTTAGCTTTTTTCTGAATTTATCTGAATTTTTCTTGTACATACTGATGTCATCTGCTAATAAAGACAGCCTTACTTCTTTTTTTCTAATCTGTATTCCTTTTATTATTCTCTTTCTTCCCCATTATGCTGATTAGGACCCTCCAGTTCAATGCTGAATAAATGAAATGTGTGGATATCTCTGCCTAGTTTCCAATCACAGGGTTCAGTTTTTCATCGTTAAGTATGATCATTTCCATCATTAAGTATTATGTTAGCTAAAATAGGTTTTCATAGATGCCCCTTTGTCAGTTGAGGAAGTTACCTTCTATTTCTAATTTACTGAAAGTTTTTATCAGAAATTGGTGTTAGGTGTTTTTTCTGCATCTGTTGAGATGATCCTATGATTCTTATCTTTTATTCTGATAATGTGGTAAATTACATGGATTTTTTTTTTTTTTTTTTTTTTTGCGGTACGCGGGCCTCTCACTGTTGTGGCCTCTCCTGTTGCGGAGCACAGGCTCTGGACGCACAGGCTCAGCGGCCATGGCTCACGGGCCCAGCCGCTCCGCGGCATGTGGGATCCTCCCGGACCGGGGCACGAACCCGCGTCCCCTGCCTCGGCAGGCGGACTCTCAACCACTGCGTCACCAGGGGAGCCCAACATTTCTTATACTGTAGGTCTGTTGATGAAAGATTCTCTTAATTGAAAGTGTTTTTATTTCACCTTTTCTTTTGAAGGATATTTTCTTTGGATATGAAATTCTAGGTTGAGATATTTTTCTTTCAGCATTTTAAAAATGTCATTCCTTTATCTTCTGGCTTATGTTGTTTCTGATGAGAATTCAGAGATCATTCTGATTGTCGTTCTGTATTTAATGGGTCTCTTTTCTCTGAATGCTTTTAAATATTTCTCTATATTACTAATTTTCAGCAATTTGATTACGATGTATAGTTTTCCTCGTGTTTATCCTGTTTGGGGTTCACTGAGCTTCTTAGATCAGTGGGTTTATATTTTTCCTCAGATTTGGAAAATTTTCAGCCAGTGTTTCTGCAAATATTTTTCTTCCCCAATCTCTTCCTTCTCCTGTTGAGACTTTAATTGCATGTATATTAGATTGTTTTATGATGTTTACAGATCATCAGTTGAAGCTCTGTTCGGTTTTCCAGCCTTGTTTTCCCTCTGTGTTTCAATTTGGATAATTTCTAGTGTCCTGTGTACAAGTTTACTGATCTTTTCTTCTACGGTCTTACTTGTTTCATTAGAAATGTCCATCAAGTGAATTTTACATTTCAGCTATCGTATTTTTCGTCTCTGTAATTTCCACTTGGTTCCTTTTTACATTGTTTCTTTCATTATATTCATATTATCCTTTAAGTGTTTGAGCATATTTATAATAGCCGTGTTAAGGTCCTTGGCTGCTAACGCCATCATCCCTGTCATTTCTTTATGTTCCTGTTGATTTTTTTTCTCTTCATTATTCCTCACATTTTCCCACTTCCCCTAACAAATAAGTTTGTATTCTGTGCTGAACATTGTGGATGCATATGCTGTGTTGCTGAGTGTGTGGATTTTGTTGTCTTCTTCTAAAAAGTGTTGAATTTTGTTCTGGCACCTGGCAGGCAGTTCATCTACTTACAGGTCAACTCGATACTTCAAAGCCTTGTTTTAAAGCTGTGTTAGGGCAGTTCCAGAGCAGTCCTTATTCTAGGGTTAGAGTAATCCCTCTGAGGCCTGGCTTTTCTGGGTCTCAACTGAATGCTGGAAGTATTCAGCAAGATCTCTCCTCTGGCAGGTGGAACTCAGACCTCTCCTTGCCTTTTGCCACCTCTGAATCTTCAGTCAGCTCCCCGCACCCCCCACCCCCACCCCAAGCAGCTGTTGGTTGCCAGTCTTTGCAGAGGCTCCCTCTGTACAAATACAGTTTGGTGTTCAGCCAGAGACTTCAAGGGGCCCCTCTGCCCATTTCTGGAGCTGTTTTTTTGCACAATTGCCTCCTCTTCGTTATTCTTCCCTGTCAATTCCAGCTGCCTCAGAAGCCCTGAACTCTGATCACTGTCTCTCAGAGCAGTGAGATTGCAGTGTATCCTTCAAGCTCTACCTCTGTGCTGTGGTCCAGAGGGTCTATCCTAGCAGAGAGCTGGGGTGATCCTGGGGCTCACAGCAGGTCTTCTTTCATGAATCAGTCTTGCACCATCTACATTCAGAGTCTGAAAGTTCTTGTTCCATGCATTTCGTCCAGCTTTACAGTTGAATCTGGAGGAGGGCTAGTCCTGTACCAGGTATACATACCATCATGGCCAGAAGTGTAAGGTCTCCAGTTCCCTTTCTAAGACGAAAATCTGTGAGCAGTGGTTCCCAAATTAGATTCCTCTTGCATCACCTCTCCCTTGCATTCCCTCCTCTAGCCTTTGAGCACCCTATTCCCTTTTGCCTCCAATGCGTTTCCACTCCCCTCTACTGCGTTAAAGGTTTCAGGGAAATCCTCTGGTCTTCCCTGCCTCTCCGCTGCATGGTTACCTTTCTTGAATCCTTATAGTCTCTGAATTTCTGTTCCAGTTAAATTTTCAGCTTTACAGAAAGAAGAGACCACGTGCTGTCTTATTTTTAATATCTTTTATGTGTAAATATCTCATACCTTTCTTACTAGGCCAGTCTGCCAGTCTGAATTGCTTTCTTCCTTTCTCAGTGAGAGCCCAGGTAGGAATATCAGCCTGGTAACATTCCATGTGAGAAAGTCAACAGATGGAGCAAAAGGTTGAGTGAAATGAGTTAGGAGCCTGGGAAGTTTATCTTGGCTCGGCACTGATCTCCTCTGTGACCCTGGCATGGTGCCCGTACCTCTCTGAGCCTCTTTGTCCCTAGCTGCCTTATACCCTTGGTACCAGTGGGAGGATAACATGTGAGAAGCTTCTTTCGCCCTCTCTTGGGCATCCCATCTTTAATGTGCTCTGTTTAAGTGGTTCTGAGCCATTCGTGCTTTGATTCCTGGTTCCACAGTATCTGTTGAGCACTTACTGTGTGTCAGGGAATGTGCCAGGCACTGAGTGCGTGGTTGGACCAAAGTGGCAGAGTCCCTACCCCCACGGAACATACAGGGTAATGGGGAAAGAGACATTGATCAAAGATCACACCATGGGTCATCATTGGTGGCAGTCAGATCTTGGAAGGGAACAAGGGAGGCGACTGGAAGATAAATGACCAGGTGGGGTATCAGGGAGGGCTTCCGGAGGAAGTGATGTTTAGGTGGAGGTATGTAGGACCAGCAGTAGTAATCCAGGCAGAAACTGGAGGGAAGAACATTCCAGGCAGAGGGGATACCATGAGCAAAGGCCATGAAACTTGGAAGAGAGAGGGGTTGACTGAGAGGGCAAGAAGTGGGCAGGCCCCAGGCAAGGGTTTACTGTATCATGTGCTTTTGGGTGTCCTGAGCTCCCTGCCACGGGGAAGGAGGGGCTCTCCCACACGGAACGCCAGGATTTTGACAGCAGGCTCGCAGACCATGAAAAGATCTGGTCCAGAGGGTCTCCTAGAAACCATTCTGCAGGTGGAGACGAGGCCTGAGAGGGGAAGCAACACGCTCTGTTTATTGCTCAGAAATTCTCTGTCCCTTGTGCCCAGGTGCCCGGGGGTGTGTTAGTGCCTAAGGGGACCACATGGCCTGTGCAAAGACCTCCATGAGAAGCTGGCAGGCTTGAGCCCCCGTCCCATCCTGGCACTAACTTTCTGTGTGGCTGTAAACTTATTAACCATTCTGGGCCTTGGTTTCCTTATTCCTAAAAAATACCATTAATAACTGTTTACGTCTGAAGAGTAGTTTACCGTTCAAGGTGCTTCCGTGACCTGTGTGGATTCTGACAAAATCCCTGTGAGGCTGGTAGTGCAGAGATGGGTGTCCTGCTCTCATCAGTGGAGGTGAGGTGGGAAAAGTGAGGCCAAGAGGGGAAGTAAAGGGTCCAAGACCACGGAAGCCGGAGGTGGCAGACTTGAGATTCAGAGGTGGGTCAGGCTCACCGCACACTCAGGGCTGCTTCCGTTAAACAGTGAACCGCAAGCTGTGGTCCCCAAACTGCGCTTCAGGGAGACAGGGGAGAAATCAGAGGTGGGACGCTGGACGCCTCCCTCAGAGTTTGATGTGTAGGTTTATCCCGTGGCTAAGAAAAAAACAATTGAGAATTGTGAGATGAGCCACCCTTCCGGTTGAACCCGGGACCTTCAAGGTCTTTCACTCTGAAAGGAAGGGAGGGAGAAAGGGGGATCATATGTAAGTATCCTTCCCCACCCACCCGTCTCCAGTTCCTGATTGAGAAAGTGAGAATCTGGAGAGTGGGGCGGCGGGGAAGAGGAGTGGCGGGGGACACCTGTGTTCTCCACAGACTGAGCCTGGGGGATTCCTCCTGGGGCTTGCGGGGGGGGGCAGGTGAGGGCTTGCTTACGGGGCCACGACCAAAGGACGCCCCATCCCCAGCTCCTGGCATCTGGCTGCTACTGAGGTGGAAAGGCAGTGACCTCCCCAGAGGGACAAGGGGGGCCAGCCTGAGTCCTCTGAGCTCACCTCAGGGCCTCGGGTCCTGTGTGACCTTGAACAAGGCCCTGACTCCTGCGTCTCTGGGCCTGGGCTTCCTCCGGCCAGGAGTGGGCAGAGGTGGAGGGTCAGGGAGCGCCCGTCTATTTTGGCTATGAGAGCCGCGGGCACAGCGTCTGGTGCCCAGGATGGACACTGCCCTGGGAGCAGGGGTGTAAGAAGGTCTCTCCTCTGCCCCTGAGGCAGGCAGCAGGGCAGCGTCCTTCCCAGGCTCCGGCCAGACTCTGCGGCAAGGTGGTGCCCTTGAGATGTTCCCAGTGCCGGTGACTTCCGTGAGCCCCCGGTCAGCCCCGGAGGGGTCCCTTCTCTTGCCGTCTGGTCCACTCTTGCCCTCCGGGAAGAGTTGCAGTTGAGTGAAACCACTGCCTCCCCTTTCGGTTGGAAGGTGGCACTGTGGCCACATTCAGGGACTTGCCACCCCGGTAACTACGTCTCCGGGCAGCGTGCAGGAGGCTGCCGCCTGATACCAGCCGAGCTGGAGACCCGCTGAGGGTCAGGGCCCCCCACCCCTGTTCTCAGTAACTCCAGTTTCTGCAGAGAAGGCGGGCAGGGGAGGCAGGAGGTGTGGGAAATGGTGACACAAGCTGCCCCTAACCCCACCGGGGAGCTGCTGCACTGATTTCCATTAAAGCATCAGGTGTTGGGTCGAGCACTGTCCCCTGAGATTGTCAATCCCAGGCAGTGCCCAGGAGTTCCACGAGCCCCTTCCCGTAAGACCGTGGGGCGACATTGGGCCCTCTGCTCTTCCCCTCTCCCATCAATCAACCCTGCACGTCTCTGCCTCTCTGTCGTCTATCATTACTGCTGAGCCAGCCTGCCTTGGAGGGAAAAGAGGCTCAGGAGTCAGCATTTTAGAAAATGCATTTGAGCCTGGGTTGGCTAATTCAAGTGCCCCAAGCATGGGTCACAGGCCGAGTTCTTAGACACGCAGAGCCTGGGTTGGTCAAGGGTTATGGGTGACCCAGCCAGTGGGCTGGTCAGTGGCCTCCAAGTAATGCTGAGTATGAGCTGGCGATCAGGCTTCCCTCGAGGAGAAGCTGGGGAAGGTTCTAGACTCCCAGACTTTCTCAGGCTCCAGGTGGGAGCCAGAGCCCTTGCTCTCTGTGGACCAAGAAGTTTTGGTCCTCGAGCGTAGGGGTACTTGGTCGGCTCCAAGCTCCCTCGGCAACTGAGAGCGTGACCCTCTCAGGTACTGCCCCCGGGTGGGAGCCACCGGACGATCCAGACACAGGGTCTGAGTGTTCGCATCCAGAGGTCTCCCCGTCTCCACGCTTCGTGGCAGCGAAGACCCAGACGAACCAGTCGGGGAAAAAGGCTCCGGCCTCCGTGGTCCGATGCGCTACCCTCTTACACCGCACCCCTCCAGCCACCCAAACCCCGACGTTCCGCACTCCAAATTCGGGATCTCCGGCAAGCAAGGCAACTGCAGGTACCAATGGCCTATGTTACCCTCACACTTCCTCCACTCCCCGCCCTTCTCCCCACCTGCCACAGCTGTGCCCGGGGTCATTGTTCCCTTGCAAGAGCGAGGGTGGTGGTCCCTAGCTCTCTGGGACGAATCTGGGTCCCAGCTCTGCCTCAGGCTGGCTCTGTGACCACGGCAAGCCACCTAGCCTCTCTGAGTCTAGGTTTTCTTACCCTAAATCAGAGGGTTGTACAAGATGGTTTGCAAACTAATTTTTTTAAGTAGGAGAATATTTTTCTCCCCAAGTCATGGCCTAAGGGGTTTTAAATTCTTTCAAATTAATTGCCAACATTTGAGCATTAGGAGATTTATATATGAAACTTTTGATTTCTGGCTTACATTGAAAAGTCAGATCTGGCAGTCCTGGGCCCACTTTCCTCAGGGTAGCAGTTGCCTTGGGGCCGAGCCACAGCTGCCTCCTTCAGTAGAGCGTGTGCTCTCTGGTTTTCCACAGTCCCCACCACTCCCTCCTGCCTCCCCAGTACAGTGGCCACGTGGCAGGTGCCATGTCTCATTGTGATCACACTGTTGTCTGTCTCACATCCAGCCCAGTTCATCCATTTACGTCACCTGCCTGGACCCTCTTGGCATGAGTTCGCATCCCCCATTTTTCAGAAAATCCAGTCTAAAAACTCATTTCTACGAAGAGCTGCTCTCCATGAAGAAGAGTGTTTGGCTGGGAGCTCTGTTCTCTTGGCCTCCCGCTACCTCACTGTTTAGGAAACCCCTCCATGAGCCATAGCCCAGCGGGAAGCCAACGGATGCCCACTCCAGTGTTGTCTGAGTCTACGCAGAAAGGGCTCAGCCTCTGGAAGGGTGAACAGGCAGTGAAACGTGCACACCAGCCATTTCTTACCAGTTATCGGGGAATGATAAGACACACTGTGTGCTGAGTACCAGCTAATCAGGAATCCTGATTCACACCTGGATGGAAAGAGCCTTGGGCCTTCTCCCTAGATATGTGGGATGTAGGGTAGAGTGATGACTTGGTCATTCTGGGACTACGGGCCTTTCAGATACCCTCAAGAGGCCCAAAGTTATCCATTCAAAATATACAAGTGATCAAACTGAGAACTCACTCAAATGAACCAGGGGGCTGGACCGATTACAGCCACGTGGTGAGTGGTGCTCGCCTTTCCTCTGGTTCAGAAAGCTAACCAGGAGCAAGGATGTGGTTCTTAAAGATATTTGAAGCTATGCTTAAGTGCTTAGATCTCCCGAAAGGAGAGTAAGTAGTTAATCAACTTTGAAGGTAACGGTGTTCAGCTACTGTGTAGAGAAGAGCTAGTAGCCATTGTTTTTTGGCAACAGTAGTTATAAATCAGTTAAACAGGCTGGTCGTCACGGACTTACTGGTGGTAGATACTGGCTCAACTAAATAATGGGATCACGGCTTTCAGATCTTTACTTTACTCTCGACCTTGTGGCTGGGAGTTTTTGCATCTGCAGTTTCTGCAGAGAACTGCCTGTAGGGCCTGTGTGGTCTATGGCAGCTCTCAGAGCCCAGAGTCATCGAGTAAAGCATCACAAGCGGTGGGGCTTGCCTCTGGCCGCCTTTTTGTGACCTGGAAGACTTGTGATGGGTGTCACACCTGGACTACTAGCTGCGCAGGTCAGGGGACACCAGGTTGTGAGCCGGAGCCTGCATGTTGGAGCTGGAAGTCATCACTGCCCCCGTCATGCTAGAACAGGCAGCCGCTCCCGTGCGTGTGTGTGTGTGTGTGCGCGCGCGCGCGCGCCTGTGCGGGGATGTCCCCTGTGGAGCCGCGCGCTGGTTTTCAGCCAGAGGTGCCTATAGCAGGGATAGCTGATCACAATCTGCTTTACCAGCTGAGCCATAGGAGGCTAATTAGAAGAGTTTGTAACCTTAGTTGTGCTGAATTGTACCAACGTGTTGGTCAGGCTGCACGAAAATCCTCCATAGATGGGTAACCGTCCCCTGCATGCATGAGGTTTAAGATGGCAGAAGGAACCACTTCCCTGCCCCAGCCCTTTTTAAAAAGGAAGCATCTGTCCCAAGAATGAAATCTCCTTATTCTGCCATCTTAAAGGGTTAGGAGCTTAGTCAGGCCCAGGAACTTGACAACCTCACTCTCTCTGGGTTTTCACCTATAAGATGGGCATGACAGCGTGGACCTCATAGGGCGATTGGAGGATTATGTGGATGTAAAGCATCTGGACCAGTGCCTGGCCCATAGCAGGTGCTTCGTAAATAAGAGTCCCCCCGTTTTTCCTAGGTAGAGGATTGAGGGGCTTTCTTTGCCGATTTACAGATGGTATCTTGAAGTGGGCAGGTGTGTAGCTCTCAGGCCAGGCATTTTACAGACACAGTTAGAAGAGAGGGTCTTGTGTGTGATGTTGTCAACAGCCTCTGCAAAGCGGAGGCTGCCTCAGGAGGCACTGTCAGAGTCGGGGGCGGGGGAATTGAGCAGGGCCTATAGGAGCCACCTGGGGCTTCCCTTCCCATCACCCCAGTGACCGTCTGGAACCTCGGCTCCCATAGTATGAGCGCTTGCCCTCCTGGCGTAGGGTGGCCTGGGTGACAATGGCATTTCCCAGAATCACCATTTTCGAAGGATGTTAAGGAATCTCATATTTTTAATTGGGCTTCAGTGGCCGATTCTATTTGGGAAGGTCGGGTTCAGTGAAGCTAGATGGGTCTCTCTCCGGTCGAACTTCTCAGAGCCTTTGATATCCTCATGCAAGCTGTTTCTCCTTAAGAAAGGCTGCTGGGTCAGCTGCTCATCCCAGATTGACTTGTTCCCAGAAGCCTTTATATCCTGGCACATCCAGCATCCCCACTGAGCAGCTTGGAAAAGCCGTCACCTTCTGGCTCAGACGTTCGAGACAGAACGTGGGTGTCTCCCACCTGGTTGGACCCTTTCTCTGACTCCGGCGTTTACAGAGAGTTCCGGGAGAAGGCGAGCCACTCAGGAAGGCACGTCAGTGGAGACACCCCAGAATCACTCAGGGAGCCAGTCCCTTGCCCCCGGTGAACCCCGACCAGACCTCACCTGGTCTTTGGCCTCCCAGGGTGTGGGGCTACCCGGCTCAGCCTATCATGACATCTCTGCCACCCAGGGACCCCTTCCACCCTCTGGCCCTCCTCTCTGCCGGAGCCACCCCCAGGAAGCAGTCTGTCACCCTCCCCGCTCCTTGGTGGGGCCTGTGTCAGCAGAATCGGGCAGAGCAAGTCGCGAGTGGCAGATCCAGATGACTTAGTGTCACGTGTGGCCCCCCAGGGGTCAGAGATGGGAGACCCTGGCCTGTGTACCATCTACTCGATCAGTTGGAGCTCAGGAGTGCGCCCACATCCCACACACATCCCCCCCGTGCCTGGACCTCCACCCACCCTGGGCACTGTCGGGGACCTCCTGGGACCCTGACGAGGTATCAGGCAATTCAGGTGAGCCTGAGGAACTGCAGGTTTGGGGTTTGGGGTTCTGGAGCCCATCCCTCTGCTGGTTCCCCAGCATAAAGCCTCAGGCACTCAAGCAGCCCAGGGGCCGGGGCAGTTCCCGCGTCCCTGGCCTCCCAAGCCCCCTCTGGCATGCCCCGCCCTTTGGACCTGTTGCTGACCCATCACCGTGGTGTTTCCTTGCTCTCTCCTCTCCCCACCCAGCAGAAAGCGCTTTCAGTCGGAGGGTAGAAGGCAAAGCACAAAACCACTTTGAAGAGACGAATAGCAGTTCCCAAAACTCCAGCGGTGAGTGTGCCCCGTGACAGTCACCCTGTGCTGCCGCCTCAGTCCGCTCCGGGACCTCTGTGGTGCGTGATGGGGCAGGGTGTCGGGAGGAGGTTGAGAGCAGAGCATTAGAGGGCGGCCAGAGCCCGGCAGGCAGAAGCGGGAGGGACATCCCTCCGGGCCTCAGGAGCATCTCCGGGACTGTGGATCCTCTTTGTCTCTTCCCCATGGAGAGAGGAACTCCCCTGCCCCATGACCTGTGTGATATACTGACTTGGATGGCCCCCTTTGAGCCATTGCTATGTTTATAGGATGAACATCACAGCCATTTTTTTTTTCCAGAAGAAGCAAAGCGGGTACAGTAGAGAGAGCTGTGGCCTAAGAGCCGGAGGCCCCAAGTTCTGGTCCCCTTTTGGACCTGGGAACATCCAAAGGTTCCCTTCCAGCCCCTACCAGCCCAAGTAGGCTTGCCTGAGGTTCCCAGTGGTGTTTTGGCGCCCCCTGGTGGTTGCCTCCTGCAGGACTCTAGTGGAACCCTAGAGCACCTTAGAGCAGCCGAAAGCCACTGTCCCCAGCCAGACCTGGGGCCAGCCTGGCGGAGCCATGCCTGAGCACAAGCAGCCTCTGCCCGAGAAAGGCACAGCAATCTGGTCTGCACAGTGCCAGCCAGGGCAGGGTGTAAAAAAGGTTTTGATACTTCCTTTATACTGAGGTAAGCCATCACTCACTTTCTTGCTCAATTAAAGTTTACTTCACCAGATTAGGTGTTGGCCTGTGCTCAGCACCGTGCTGGGCCCTACCTGGGTGCAGACAGATGATGCACGTGGCGTGACCACCAGTCAGGGGCTTTATGAAACATCCAGGAGCGCAGACTTGCACGTGCAAGCTTCTCAGTGATCTGAGCTCCAGCCGAGGCTCGACCCCAGCTCCACCATCCACAAGCCGGTGACTTGAGCTCGCCTCTCGATCTCACCTCTGCTGTGGAATGGGCATGGCACACACGTCCCTGTGGTGGGGAAGATTCAGAGGGTGCCCTGCAGAGTTCACACACTCACATGGTAGGCTGTTTGGGAGGTGGTGGTGTTTGTAAGTAAACCGAGTGGTTTGATGAACAGGTGCTCCAAGGAAGGGAGTGAGGTGTGCCGTGGGAGCCCCGAGAATGTTGCCACGATCCTTTAAACCGTAGAGAGCGTGTCGACTTTTCCAAACTGCTTCATCCTTTTGGAAGCTATAACCCACTCAGCCCCTCCAAAAGATGAGCCTTAAAGAACTGGAGTGACTGGCTCAAGGCCACACAGGAATAAGCAGCAGAGCCAGGACTGAAACCGCGGTCTCCCGGGAGCCTTTGTTCCCAGCCAGCCAGGCTGCACCCCCTGCCTCTCCTTCCACCAGAGCCGATGTTCAGAGTTGGGAATGACGGTGTGAAGCGCTGCTCCCGCCGGCAGCCACCATTTATTGAGCGCTTACTGTGTGCCTGGCACGTGTTCAGAGCTGTATGTGTCTTAACCTGTTTTCATCCTTACCACAGCCCAGTGAGGGTCAGTGTTATTGTTATCCCCACTTTTTGGATGAGGAAACTGAGGCTCAGGTGACGTTGATTGTTGCCCCCGGTCCCCAGCTTGTGAGTGGTGGAGCCAGGATTCCCGGTGTAGTCCGTCTGGCCCCGTTCTGCCGCCTCCAGCCTGTGAGGCTCAGCTGACCATGCCAGGAAGCGCGGGGAGCTGCCAGCAGACAGAAAAGCCCTCAAAGCGCAGCCCTCCCTTGGCCTCTCTGGCGTTTGGTGCCAGACAGTACCACCCCGGTGCCAGGACCTAGAAGCAGCTCCCAGCTCCCTGTCCTGAACCAGGCGGCCACACGTGGATATTTTCTCCTTGGCGCTCTGTGGGCTGACTTTTTGAAAGTTGGGGGTGTCCTGGAGGGATGGCCCCGGCTGATCTCGCCCTGCCCGTGCCCCAGCCCCACCCCAGCTGCCCCCTCCTCCTCCGAGAGCCCATCTGGCTCACTACTTCTTAAGGACAGAAGTAATGACTGTCATCTCCGAGCACCAGAACCAGAAGAGACTTAGCTAAACTGTTTCTCTTTTGCAGAAACTGCAAGTCCCCTGATTTCCAATCCTTTCCCTCTCCTACAGAGTAAGTGATGGTCCCGTCGGGGGGCTGGAGAGGGCGAGGCAGGGTAGGGAATGAACTCAGCCAGCCACACGTTCGGGACCTCCCCAGAGCATCAGACCTGGGCCGCCCTCCCAGGTAGACCCAGTTGGAGGAGGTGGAGGCACAGGGAGACCCAGCCCAGGCGGGTGGAGGAGTTTGGACAGGTGTCGGGTGGAGCTGTGACCATGGGCGTCCTGACTCTGCCACCCCCAGCCCTGCAGGAACAAAGCCACCCTTCCCTGCTCACGGGGGCACCCTCAGGACGCCTCTTCCGAGCGCATCTCCGCCATCCTCCTGCTGTCTTTTCCCTACTCGTTTTTGCTCTCTTCTCTCTCTCTTTTTCCTTCCACGTCCCTCTGCTGGGCACGCGTGCTCGCGTTCCTATGTGCTCTCATTCTTGCCGCCCTCCGGCCCGCTCCTCTTCCCTTTCCTGTCTTATCCCTGCTTCTCTAGCTCTTCTGTGTTTCTCCACTTCTCACCCTTTCTCTCACCCCTTCTCTCCTTCTCTTTACTGCCCTCCACGTCCATTATGTTGTTTTTGGTTCATTCATACGTTCATTCATTTGTTCACTCAGCAAACAGTGCTGTCTGTGTGCTTCCACCAGCTGAGAGGTGGGCTGTGGAACAAATAAGATGTGGTCTCCGCCCCGAGAGAGCTCTTGGTCCCTTAGTGTTATCCCCGGCGCCCGGAACAGTGTGGCACACAGTGAACACTCGATAAATGCCGCTTGACTACACTCGGCGGTCTTGATCTGCCAGTCTTCCTCTCTCCATTGCTCCTTCCCCTGCAGCCTCTCCCTCACTAGCTAGTGACAGGGGGGCAGACAGGCCCAGAGCCCTGAGGGCACAGCCCCCATGTGTGTCTGGGTGCCCAGTTCCAAAGCTGCCTGCGGCCCAGCAGAAAGGCATCCGGGTTCGTGCTGCCCCTGAAACGGCTGCTCCGTTTCTCCCTGCAGAGCCCTACACGTGCGGCGCCTGTGGAATCCAGTTCCAGTTCTACAACAACCTGCTGGAGCACATGCAGTCCCACGCGGGTAAGGGCCCCACGGTGGACGGGGGCGGGGTACTGAAGCCCCCCTTATCCCTCCCACCCTCAGATCCTGCGAAAGGCAGGGACGGCCAGGGCCAGCCTGCGGCCGCTCTCCCAAAAAACAGTCCCAGGACGTGGGAGCCGTGGTTACTCCGTTGTAAGCCAGGGTGGTCTGTGCCCTGCGGGGGCAGCTGGCTTGCTGGCAGCGTAGCCAGAGAGGGGGTCGGAGCTGGAGAAGGCTTCCAGAAATTGTGACCTCTGCCCGGAGCCTAGAGGCCAAACAGGAGCTGAGCAGGACAGAGTCGTGGGCGTGCGTAGGGTTGAGTGTGGTTTGAGACCCAGGTGAGCGGAGGAAGGGGAGGGCAGTGGAGAGGGCTCAGTCCGGGGCAGCCTGCGGCGAGCCCATTGCTTTCGCGGTCATACCCCCGAAGCAGCAGTCCTCAAACGTGAGCGTGCATCAGTCACCGGGAGGGCTGGTGACAGCACAGATTTCTAGGCCGCACTCTGAACTTCAGACGCGTGGGTCTAGGGCGGGGCCCAGGACTCGCATTTCTGACAGGTCCTCAGGCCACACACACCCGGCTTGTCCGGGACCACACTTTGAGAACTGCTGCTGTAGCGCCACAGCTAGGAGTCTGCTGTCTGGACACCCTTTTTATCAGCTGTTTTGCCATCTGTCCGGCTTACAATGTCAGCTCCCTCACTAGACCACCAGCCTCCAATTTTAGGTTTTGGTCATAGTAGCACTGATTTCTTTTTTTCTTTTTTTTAACGTCTTTATTGGAGTATAATTGCTTTACAATGGTGTGTTAGTTGCTGCTGTATAACAAAGTGAATCAGCTGTACGTATACATACATCCCCGTATCTCCTCCCTCTTGCGTCTCCCTCCCTCCCACCCTCCCTCTCCCACCCCTCTAGGTGGTCACAAAGCACCGAGCTGATCTGATTTCTGATCTGATCTCTGTTTTAGGCAGGCAGACACTGTTTGCTGTAACAGGTAAATCCCAAATTCTCAGTGGTTTGACATAACCACTTCCTTCTCAGCCACATCACAGCCTAATGCACGCGGCCTTCCACGTGGAGATTCAGGGACCCAGACTCCTTCCTTCCTGTGTTTCCATCCTCCCCTGGATCACAGCGTCCTCTCTCTCTGACTGATGGGCGGGGAGAGAGGCACACTTCCTTCTTTACCACTTCAGGCCACAAGGGACACATATAGGCTCAAATTCCAGAGCCCTGCCCAGGGACAGCCCGACAAGGGAAACGGGAACATGGGGGAGACAGCTCGCTGACCCTGCCACCCTTCCCGTAGGGTGATCCTCTGGAGGCATTGGAGGTGATGTGAGAAAAGCGCCTGACACAGACGGTGGCTCAGTAAAGGCCAGAGAGGAGCTGACCAGGAAAGAGACTGAGTGTTTGCTTAGCTGCTGTCACTTCTGCTGTCACGGTGGTTGTTGTTGTTAGTTATTGCTTGTCTCTCTCTTAGGTTTCTGAATCTTTCATATCACCTTCCAGGTCTGGCCTGACTAGCACAGAGTATTACAGGGCGAGACGCTCTCCAGGCAGGTGCTGTTCTGTTAGTGTGACCCCTCTTCATTTATGCAGCGTATATCTATTGGGTATCTGCTGTACACTAGGCACCAACTCGCATGATTTTGGGTGGGAGGGAGATAATTTATTTCTAATGTACTCATTAAAATCAGTGCAGGGACTTCCCTGGTGGTCCAGTGGCTAAGAATATGTGCTTCCCGATGCAAGGGGTGCGGGTTCAATCCCTGGTCGGGGAACTAAGATCCCACATGCTGCGCGGCACGGCCCCAAAATTTAATAATAATAAAATAAAATCAGTGCAGAGCTGGATTGGCTGCCATGACACGTGAGTTCCAGTCCTCTCTAACCGATGTGACCTCAGGCAGGAAGCTTTGTCGTGCCCCCCCACTCTGAGTCTCCATTCTAAAACAAGGGCACACAGACCTGCAATCTCCAGCTGCCCTCCTTACACCAGGGTTCTGTCTTCACGTGTCTCACAGCTCCTGCTTGCCTTTGCTGTCAGCCATCCTGCACCAGGGAAGGCCTTGAACGCACTCAGAGCACTTAGACTTGACCCCGTGGGGAACCAGTAGCCAAAGTTAGAAGGATGCTGGGGACCACTGCCTGAGCACAGCGCTTGGGCCCGAGACCCCCACGGCCCCGTCTCTGCTCCCTTCTCCTCTGAAACCCTCTGCCCCTCTGCCGGCTCTGAAAGCTGAGCCCTAATTAGGGAAGAGTCTGGGTGCCAGTGCCTCTCTGTCCCTCAGGCAGTTGGGCAGAGGCCATTAACATGCAAATCAAGGGTGCGCCTGCGGGCGCCCCACCTCCCCCAAGCATCCCAACTTGTTTTCCGAGAAGAGCTGTGGGCTGCTTTGTTCTGGTTCAGTGCTGGCAGAGAATGCCTTGCCGGCAATCCAGTGCAAAGCCAGGCTGAATCCCAGCCAGGCTGAGTCGGGATTAAAGGATTGACTCCATAGAGAGAAATTAAGCGTCATGATCTGCGCAGTTCACAGCGCCGCTGATAAGGGGGATCAGCCTCGAATAACAGCAATCTCATTAAGAGGCTGCTGAATGGCACAGGGTAATTCCCGCTAATAAACTTCCCGTCTGCGCTGTAGGAGAACCCGCCTGGCCCCTGGTGACAGCTTAGGAGCAGGTTTTGGCGGCAATAATACTAAAGATAGCTAACACTTAGTGAGCGATTACCGTGTGTCAGGCCGGGCTCCTCAACAAGCTGGCTGGCATTATCATCCCCATTATACAGATGAAGAAACTGAGGCTCAGAGAACATAATCGCTGGCCCAAAGTTGCATGGCTCGTAAAAAGTACCTCACATCGTTTGAGTTCTTACGTATTAGCTCATTTGATCCTCAGAACATCCCTCTGAGTTGTGTCCACATTAGCTTGCCTTTATAGATAAGGAAACTGAGGTGAAAAGGGCTAAGTATAGAAAATGGAAGCACATATTTTGGGCAGAAAAATGTCACTTAAAAATTACTTATCAATAAGAAAATGATTAGTCCTGTGCAACAATTAATGATTTAAACAATGATCATAATATTTAAGAAATATACACTGTTTCCATAATGTTTTGCCTCCAGAATGCAATAGCTCATTTCCTCAACTGCTATCAGTAGGGCAGATGCTTTGATTTTTTCCCAAGTTATAGTGCTGTTTGGCTTGTTTGTGTTTAGAAGTGTGCATTATGCAGTTCATTTTAGTGTGCTGTTTCTGTGTTGTTTATTTTTTGTTCTTTTAATAAAATGTGTAAATTTCAAAATAAAATAAAGTGGCTAAGTAACTTGCCCACGGCACTGCAGCCACAGTATCAGACCAGGATTCTGACCCTCCCATGAGCTCCAGAGCCGGTGCTCTGAACACACCCTCTTCAGCAGCGTAGATGGGGTGGAGGATTAGGGGTGGGGGAAGCCCCTCAGAGGTCATCTCTTCTAGCCTCTTTTCAAGTAGTCGGGGGACTGCAGCTAAGTGAGGCCTGGGGACTTTCCCAGGGGGCAAACAAGTTGGCAACTCAGAGTGGTAGGATTTGGGAATGGCCACGTTTAATTTCTGATCCCTTTGAGCTACTTCCCCTCTCTGGGCATCGATCTTCTCATCTGTAAAGTAGGCTCGTCACCATTCTCCACAGGCTGGGTGAGGGTTCTGGAGATGATGTATGTAAAGTATTAAGGGTTATAGCACATTCTAAAATAAGACTGAATAATGCAGTTTTCTCTTTTTCCATCCCCTGCTAGAAACAACTGCTTTCTTCTTTCTGCAACTGGTCCCTCCTTGGGAGACAGCCTTTATTCCAGCTTTGCATCCCACCCTTTGCCGATGTCTGTGTATCTGTACGTGTGTGAGCACGTGTATCTGTGGTACGCAGCGTTAGCCACACTGAGTAAACCTTGTTTCCAGCTCAAGCTGTAGATCATTTACTGAGTACCTCACCCATTTAGCAGCATTATCTGTGAGATAAGGAGAAAAAAATTTTTTTAATAAACCATGCTAGACATCATTATCTAATTAGAGGTTGAGTAATCCCAATTTCAAAGCCTTGCAGAAAGGCAGAGAATGAGGGAATCGCCCTGCAGCTTGCCCAGCCCCGGGATTTTGGAAGGAGGAGGGGAAACTGAGCCCTAGAGAATTGAAGTGCCTAACTCAAGGTTATAATACTCAGCCAAAGCCTGGTTCAAATCCCGGGCTTCCAAATCTCTGTACTCTAGCAGAGAAAGTCAGTGAGAATGGCTGCTGGTTTCCGTTTTAAAATTTGTGTTTCTCTTTTTTACACGTGAGGTCTATTCATTAAAGGAAATTGGGAAAATGCAGAGAAATTACAAAATGAAGACTCAGCCATAATCTCACTACTCAAAGTTAGCCACTGTTACTTTTTTTTTTTTACAAATATTTATTGCGTATATATGGTGTACTGCTATAAAGTGAATGGTTTTTTTTTTTATTTTATTTTTGGCTGCGCTGGGTCTTCGTTGCTGCGCGTGGGCATTTCTCTAGTTGAGGCGAGCGGGGGCCACTCCTCGCCACGGTGCGCGGGCCCCTCACTGCAGTGGCCTCTCTTGTTGAGGAGCACGGGCTCTAGGCGCGAGGGTCAGCAGTTGTGGCTCACAGGCTCCAGAGCGCAGGCTCAGCAGTTGTGGTGCGCAGGCTTAGCCACTCTGCAGTATGTGGGATCCCCCCGGACCAGGGCTCGAACCCGTGTCCCCTGCATTGACAGGCAGATTCTTAACCACTGCATCACCAGGGAAGCCCAACTGTTACTCTTTTAATGGTTTCTTTTCAGTCTATTTTAAAATCGGATTTATTGAGATATAATTTACATAAATAAAATTCACCAATTTTAAGAGTACAGTTTGATGGGTTTTGATAAACATATAGTCATTTAACCACTATCACAAGCACAATGTATAGTGTTACCATCAACCCAAAAAGTTCCCTTTGCAGCAAGTCCCTTTCCCAGG